TGAGGAAGAAAAGTGTTTCTTTGATGTATGAGGAGAGATTGATTAGGTTAGGATTGTTTTTGCTAGAGTTCAGACGATTGAGGGGGATCTCTAGAGACTTATAAAATTCTAACAGGACTAGACATGGTAGATGCAGGAAGGATGTTCCTGATGGTGGGTGTGTCCAGAACCAGGGGTCACAGTCTAAAGATTCGTGTAGACCATTTAGGACGGAGATGAGGAGACATTTCTCCACCCAAAGAGTGGGGAGCCTGTGGAATTCATTATCACAGAAAGTAGTTGATGCCAAAACATTGAATGTATTCAAGAGGTAGCTCGATATAGTACTTGGGGCCAATGGGATCAAAGGTTAAGGGGAGAAAGCAGGATTAGGCTACGGAATTGGATGATCAGCCATGATCATGAAGAAGGGCTGAATGGCCTATCTTGTGCTCCTATCTTCTATGTTTCTATGTTTCTCAGTTTCCTATAAGCCAACTAATCTACACCTTTTATAATGCAAATTGATGCAAATTATCAGTTAATTCATCTGCTATCTCTTTATTTTCTATTACCAGGATTTGGGCAAAAAGTGGTATAGTAGTAATGTCACTAGCTTAGTATGCTAGACCCCCAAGGGCAAAGTTATGTGGACACAGGTCCAAATCTCATCATGGCACATGGTAAGTTTTAAATTCAGTGAAAAGCTGGACTAATGGTGACCATATAACTACAGCCAACTGTCATAAAAAATTTAGTTGACTAATGTATTTTAGGGATGGAAATTTGCTATCTTTCCCTGATCTGGCCTACATGTGACTCCAGACCGACAGCAATGAGGTTGACTTTTAATTCTCTTCAATGATGAATGCATAAAAATGCTACTCCCTATAGAGGCTTTTATTTTTCTGCAATCATCTTTTGTTGTGTCTCAATCAATGCAAGTTACTTTTAATTTGGCTATTTATTAAGAAATCCCACAATCAAATACTGAAACAACTTTTTAGTCTTTATTGCACATAGCAACCAAAATAAGTCCTCTCAAGCAAGTTAAGCCTCACAACTCCAATTAATGGTGGAATTTAGCTACAATTCCAATCAACGGTGCCTTTCTCTGGATGTGACCAAGATTTGATTCTTGTGCAGTGTTGTTCTTTGAAGTTCACTCAAGGGAAAGTTCTCGTATTTGATTCTTTTACAGTTTGTCAAGTTTGTGGTTTGACATTATTGATGATCCTTCAGATTTTTTCATTCCCCAAAATTGATTACACTTCTGGAGTCCTCAAGTCTGTAGTTTATCTTCTTATCAGAAGTAGCTCCGCTGTTCCTCATTACATTCAGTGTTAGCTGTCTGTTTGAAACAAACTGTCCTGCAATTAACCCCTTTACTTCAGAACATTCCTTCTACAGGCAGTGTTAATTGCCCATTTTTCATGAACAATTTATCAAGCAATGTTATCTCCTCTTTCCCAGGAAACAGCTCATTTATGTTGCTTTGATTCCTTCTTCCCAGGGATGGTAAATTAGCATGCTGCTTTCAGTTTCTTTATAACGGTTTCTCCTTGACCCTTTCACCTCAGGAAACAATTTATTCCGGAAAGAGTTATTGCTGATTCCTTCAATCCACGAACAGTTATTAAAGTTCTGAAGTTTACTTTGCCGCACTTTGATGTGGCACTTTATCATGTGCCTGCTAGAAATCTAAATAAAGTATATCCACTAGTTCTCCAATATCCACAGCACATGTTACATCCTCAAAGAACTCTAATAGATTGGTTAAATATGATTTCCCTTTCACAAAACCATGCTGACTCTGTCTTATTATGTTTGAAATCATCTAAATGTCTTGCCATAACTTATTAAATAGTAGCTTTTAATATTGTTAGCCAACTGGCCAGTAGTTTCCTGCTTTTCATATTCCTTCATTTTTGAATATAAGGGTTACATTTGCTATCTTTTGATCTAATTTGTCCACTATTGCATCAACTATCTCGCTTGCCACATCTTTTAAGATCTGGCATGATGTCCGTCAGAACCCAAATACTTGTTAGCCCACAGTTTCAACAACTTCTCTTCTACCACTTCTCTGGCAATTGTAATTTTCCTGAGTTTCTCTCTCCTTTGCATTTACATTTATATTTATATCTGCCTCTGGGATGTTACTTATGCTCTATATAGTTAACATTGATGCAATATACCTGTTCAATTCACTTGCCATCTTTTTATTTTCCATTATAAATTCTCCAGATTCACACTCTATAGGACGAATGCTCACTTTGTTGACTTCTTCTCTTTTTAAATTTTTATGCTAAGTCACACTATCTGTTGTGTATTTTTTGACTAGCTTTCCAAGGTACTCTAATTTTCTCTCCTTATTAATTTATTCATTATTCTTTTATATTCTTTGTATCCTGCCGAAACCTCTGATTTGTTAGCTATCTTTCCACATTATGTGCTGTTCCTCTTTAAGCTGAGTACAATATTTAAGATTTTTAGTTAACTAGGACGGATGACTAATTCCAACCATTGGACTTTTTTGTTAGCCTGGGTTTATCTGTTCTGTCTATTCTGAAATACCTCCTAAAATATCTTCATTATTGACTTACGCCTTTAACCAATTTTGCCAATTCACTTTAGCCTACCCTGCTTTCATGCCCTCATAATTTCCATTATTTAAATTTAGAAAATGTCTTGGAGCCACTCTCTTTCCCTTGAACTGAACATGAAATTCAATCACATTTAATTATTCAACTACCATCTGTATCTTCCTGACCTTCACTGGCCTCCAATCTCCCTCATTTATTACATTTAAATTATTGTGGTTTCTATAAAACCCTGAATGCCCTAACTCTGCTGGACTCCTCCAGCATTGTATTCCTTCCTGAATAGTTTACTCCTCTTGTCCAATTCTCTTTCTGCATTCCTTTTCTTTCCCCAACATCTGGCAGCAAAGCCTTCAGTTGTGGTCCTGATTTTTGGAATCTCATCCAGAGCTCCTGATCTAATGTTCATTACCTACACTTTCAAAACCATCTTAAATCTTCAAAATCTATTTCCTTACCTGTATCCTTCAATGAACTCTTCTAATTTTTTTTTATAGCTTGCCATTTATTTCAATTTCCCAGACTCATCTATGAATTATCTAGGAATATTGCTCATGTAAAAGAAGCAAAACAATTTCTGATTATTATTTTTATAACATTATGACATTTAAGAAGTGAACAATCTCAGAATCTATTCTATAAAAAACTCTTGGAAAGTATTTTTAATATTTTGATATGAATCATGGACATTTAGAAATGTTTATAATTACTGCAGCATGCGTTTCCTTGAACTGACTAGGGTTCATTGACCTGTCCTATGTCTGTAACCTTGTCTGTTAGTTCATAACCTGAGCTTCACTTTAATATAAAATATATTCAATCCACCCACATGCATGATCACAGAGCAGCAATTTGAATAAAACAACGATGTAAGAAAATTTTAATAAACCACTTGAACACACTCCAGAAAGCAGAATTAAAGCATTAATGTTTGTTCCAAGGCATGCAGCATATTTAAGTATTTTACATTTTATGGTTTTTTTTTCACATTTAATTACAAAGGTAATCTATCTCTTGAAAGATTCAAAACTAAATTCTAGCATACATTTACTTCTGTTGTCTTTGGCCTTTAGTCAAGAGGCTTTTGTTCTGAAGCTTTGTAAAGAGAAATCTTACTATAAAGGAAAGAAATGATCATCCATCTGCAGTTATCACTGCTGACAGCCTACCATTAACCCCCCAAGAATTGAAGAATTCCTCCCTGTAATTGGCTATTAAATGTGACAGGATTGTCATTTTTCAGAATTTCTCCCCAGTGATTTGAGCTCATATTTCAACCTAAATTTGTCTATCTGCTGTAATTGACAGCCTCAAAAACAGCTAGATATATTTTAGCATTGTTATTCTTCTATATGTAGATTAATAATAAATTTCAGTTTTAGTGTTTCTTTATGGGGAAGGAAGTGATACGGTCCTCAGTTCCTGATGCTGTAATTTTGACACCAGCAATAATGAGAACCCCTCAAAACGTATTGAGCCTCTGGATTTTTTGGGGTGAGGTCTGGTCACCATTGTATATGCAAATTCCAAATTGGTTTCACTGCCAAAGGGAAAAGTTGCCTGCTCAAATGTTAAAAGTTGTTTGTCACAATTTAAAAGATGTAGCTCCTGAAAAGATAGGCCCCAAAACTACTTTTCAGTTTTCCAACAAGGGTTCTGGATAAAAATCATAGGGCAGAACATTTCAGGCCACTGCTGATGTGTTTGAAGGGGAGGAGTCCCATAAATTACTTTGTACCAACCACCTACCTCTCCCACATCTGTGCTTTAATGGGATGCTAGGGAGGTCTGCCCACTTTCACATCAATTGAAACCCTTTATTGACCAATCAATGGCACCCTAAGGACCATTTTCCACCCTCATCTCAGTATAGGGTAATAGGAGGAGTTCAGGTTTATGTGGAGGAGTAGCTGGTCACCCTGCACATGCCTTGGTCGAAGAGGTTAGGGATAGCCCAACTTTACTGGCCCCATTTCCAGATAATTACCCTCTTCCCACAAGAGGTCTTTCCTCTATCCTGAGGTGCTCTCTCACTGCTTGATTATGTTAGCAATTCTCCCAGCTTCCTTTTCCCCCATCCCTCAGACATTCTCTCCCCACCACGAGACTAAAGACACACCAGGTGCTCTGAGCTCCAGCACTTAGACTGCTTGTAGTCCCAGCAGTGGTCACCAATCCCAGCAGTACTTCAAAGTTAGCCAATAGCTCTCTGAGGTGGGGCTTCCATCTCTGTGAATGGTGAATGTCTCAATTCTAGTCAATTAACACTCAATGGTTCTGATGAAAGATCACCTCACCCTGAAATGTTAAGGTTGTTTCTTTCCACAGATGCTGCCTGACCTGTTGAATATGTTAAGCATTTTTTTGTTTATGTTTCAGATGTCCAGCATCTGTAGCACTTTGCTTTTGTTCCAACAGAGGTCCTTTCTGGAAGACATAGTGGTGGGCAGCAGGAGAAGGCGTGGTTGGATGACAGATGTCGCAGAGTCACACTGAGGACTTGCCACAGTGGATATATGAGGATGGCATAAGACAGGTGAGCTTGGCACACCATGGTAGCAGATCTCCTCGAAGAAGTAGATACAAGCAGCAGTAGCTGCATTAATGCACCATGTAGCTTTAAATGGCTACGGACCTCGCTGTTAAATTCTGTGCATAAAGCGAAAGAACAGCTGTGGGAGTTAAAAGGTTGAAGGATGTCCTAGATATCCTTTCAAGAATTGTGCTCATTAGTGGTCTGGGTATATTTTATTCAGGAGTGCACTCACCAATACTCTTTTTTTTTAAAATTATACAACAGCTATGTGGAGTGCAACAATAAGGGCCTGTTCTTATCTGAATTGAAAATTGTATGTGAGTTTCCTCAACCTTTTCAACAGTGGACTGAACAACACTTGCCAAAACAAGCCAGACATATTCTGGTGAATTGCAAGAGAGCAAGTGAAAGTACAGAATGACTTTCAAAGTAATTGCTGCTTATTTAATCTGAAATAGATTCCAGGGTTCAAGAAGGCAGATCACCATCACCTCAATTGGCAACTAGGTAGGGACAATTAATTATAACCTTGTCAAAGATACTCTCACATCCCAAGAATGAACTTAGAAAGCTCTTACCTCCCAAGAATTAGTCTGGCAAACCTGTTGCACTCCCTCTTTAGGTAAGGGACCAGACTGCATATGATGCTCCATGTGTGGCCCATACAGGTTTTATTCAATGGAAGCAAGATATGTTCCTCTTGTACTCAAATTTTCTTGTAATAAAGACCAACATATCATTTACTTTCTTGCTGGCTAGCTAGAGCTGCATGTTCGTTTTCAGTGACTTCTGAACAAGTACAGCCTGGTTCTTTTGGACACCAACATTTACAAATGTCTCTGCATTTAAGAAATATTGTTCTCTCTGTTCCTCTGACCAAATCGGATAACAGCATATTTATTCACTTTATATTCAATCTGCCATGTTCTTGACCACTTACTGCATCCTCCTCAGAACTCACATTCTAACTTACGTTTGTGTTATGTGCAAACTCAGAAATATTACATTTAGCCCCGACATCTGAATCATTTATACAGATTGTGAATAGATGGGGCCAAAACATTGAACCATGTTGTGTCCTAGAAGCCACAACCTGCCAACCTGAGAATGACCAATTTAATCCTGAACTCTGGTTAACAAAAAAAAAAACAATCTTCGGTTCATGTCAATTACTATCTCCCTATCACATCTTACTCCCTATCCCATATGCTCTGATTTGTTTAGTAACCTCCTGTGAGGGACCTTATCAAAATCTTTCTGATAATCCAAGAACACCAAATTCATTGGCTCCTCCTTATCTACTCTGCTATTAACAACCACAAAAGGCTCCATCAGGTTTGTCAATGTGAAGACCAGATCCCTAAGTTATTAAATTTCCAGATGATATACCTACCTTGTCACCTCCCAGGTGAGAAGAGATGAATTGATCTCTCTTTATTATTCACCTGGCCTTTTGGACGGTCATACTATGATTAAAAATTTATAAAAGATCGCCTCCTTTGTAGAAACCTTTCTCCCAGACTAAATTTGCGTTTCAGAATGAGCCAAATAATCAGGCTTTTCTTGAATAAACAAAAGAGTAGGTTTATTTGTTACTAAATGTAAGAAGGAATAGTGACACAACACACATTCCGAAGGCAGTGAAACCAGTCAACCTCATACTAGGAAGCATGAAAAGATTCTCATCGCCTATCTAATTTGCATCAACATAAGATTCTTCACGTGTTGAAAATAGAATCTTGTCTACAAATGTCAATCCAGGAAAAACAAAAAGAACTCCTGCAGATGGAGAGTAAACAATCAATTTGTACTTCAAGGAGTTCTTTGGAAAATGGCAGGGGCGATTAATGTAGTTTGCAGAAATGAAACAGGCTGAAGAAGATTTTCTTCTCTCTGAATTCTCTCAAGAAGAAGTCAGTTGACAATATTCTTTGAACGAAATATCAAGAAAACAAAAACTTAGAAATTTACTGCAATATTTTCTAATGCTTGTGTGCAAGAAACCAAGTAAACCCATGATCATCTCCAGTTAAACCTGTGCATCTCAAGGACACCCAAAGGACTCTATAGTGTACTTTCTTCTATCTTCCTTTTATACTGGAGACTTGCATCTTGAAAATTTCTTGTCTGTACGTGTGTGAGGACCTAAATGCCTGCACAAAACTGCATACATTACATGTTTATTAATTTTCTTGGGCTTAACAAGTAATAAACTTGTTTTATTTCGACTGAAGAATGCCTTGCACATGGCTCCTTATTGATTATAATGGGAACAGTTAACTGGATTTTAACCAGAGAAAGGTATAGCCATGTGCTAAAACAAACTTCAACATTGTATTGTGACCAGCTGGGGAGATTGAAAAGAGGCCATAGTAACTTTAATAATACTCTGGGTCCTGGGAATTTGTCAACTTTCTGTCCAATTTGTTCATCCAGTACTGTATTTTTACTAATGTTAATTACTTTCAGTTCATCATTCTTACTACTTACGTAGTTTCCCATTATTTCTGGAAGATATCTTGTATTTTCCCCCAATAAGACAGACAGAAAATAATTAATTAGCTTCTCTGCCATTTCCCATTATAAATTCTCCAGTCTTTGCCTGTAATTGGCTCACAGTTGTCTCTATTAATCTCTTCCTTTTTACACACCTATAGATTTTGTTTTGTTTTTTGTTAGTTTACATTTATATTTTAATTTCACTTTATCAATTTCTTGATTCTTTTTTGTCAATTTCTAAAATGCTGCTAATCCTTAGGTTTACAACTTTCTGGGGTGGCTTTATAAGATTCATCCTTTGATTTAAGACAATATTTAACTTCATTCATTAGCCACAGTTGGCTTACTTTCCCTGTTGGGTTGCTGTGTCTTATTGGAATGAATGCATGTTATTAGCTACGCACTAATTCCTTAAATACTTGGTCATTGCCTTTTAGAATGATTTCCCAGTCCTCTACTGCTAATATGTTCCTTACACCTTCATAATTTCCGATATTTAGATTTTTCTAAGATCCTAGCATTGGATTGAACTACAGTGTTTTCAAACTTAATGGAAAATTTCATCAGCTAAAAACAACTTTAAAAAGAAAAATAGAAAAGCCAATCTAAATTCTTAGCTGAAGGCACACCCAGAGGTGAACTAAACAAAATTAAAATGTAACAAAAAGTAGAGAGCGCAATTGTAAAGTTCTGCATAGCTAAAGCACCTAAAAAGAAAAGAAGAACGATAGATACCAAACTCCCAGCATGAACTGGAAGGCTATGGATCTCTAAGTTCAAATCTTTTTTTTAAAAATGTAGTTATGTTTTATGTTTGCAGAACTGCAAAAGTAAGCTGTGAAAATATTGATAGCAATTGGAAATAAGGGTAACCATGAATCAATTCTAATCAACTTCTTATCTAAAGAGGTCCAAAAAGATCCCTAAAAGATACAGAAAAAGTGTCAGAAGATCTTTGAGAATTATTCATCTAGAATTCGTGTTTTGCAGGCAACAAATACAAGAACCATTAAATTAATTTCTCAGTAAATATTGTAACAAGCACAACTAATGGAATTTTTCACAGGCTGAGCTATCAGTGCAAATGGTGAAGTTCATAATTGCCTCAACATCTATCCAAGTGTTCTAAAAAGATCTGTAAGCAAAAAAGTAAGGTTGCAGCATTAATCCACTGCTAGAAGGTGGCAAATATATGAAACCATTGTAGAGAGACTGCACTACTTGCAAGTATGCAATGCGGCCATTGTTTGCACTATCGAAGGACACAAAAAGCAAGTAAGCTGAGTGCCAAGTGTAGTCTATTGCAACCATGCCGAAACTGTTCTGCATTAAAAATTTCTGCAAAGCCTACCTATGTACTTTCACCTTTAGAATATGAGATTTATCTTTAGAAAAGAAGGCATGTTGTATCACTGCTTTAAGATTTTTTTTTCTTTATGTGCAGGTGGGCCAAAAACCAGGATGTCATCAGAGTGACTACAGGCTACAGTACCTCTGCATTGTGGCATTCTACGCCAAGGATGTGTCTAGAGACCATTTTTTACTTTATTAAATTTATCTGTAAATAAACCCACAAGATGCCTTCAAGTAAATGGAATCCATGTACCTCATTAATGCAACCATATAAAAAGCTCAAGGCATCAGTACACTCTGCTTCTTCATATACCTGAGAATGAAGTGACCTGGTTAATACCTGGTTCTGTCACATTCTACTTGTGTTCCTCGTTCACAAATTATGGTCCATTATCCAAACGATTTCCTCTGGGAACAATATATTGAAAAAAAAGCTTTTTTCAGAGCACTAGTCATCACTGCTTCATCTGCAGTTGTATGAAGTTTTGAAATGATGATTCATCTGAAACAAATATCTATCAATACTATATGCACCTTCCCTCTGAAGTCAAATAAATTTGCCGCTCACCTCTGCCGAGGTTTATCTGAAAGTGTTGAAGGAATTAGTGGCTCTATTGGCACCTGACTATTTATGGCACGTTTAAAGCAAGGTGATATAAAATTCTCTAATTCATGATGTTATGAACTTGGCCATTAAGAAGGAACCATCCTCCTCATCTCACTGGAGGAACCATTCCCCTCACTAATATCCAAAGTGTAAAACCAGTTAGTGAGTGAGGTAGACTCAAAGGGCTCTTCCCTTGCTTGTTTAATAGCTGTGAACTATCTACCCGGTGACTATTCCCTCTCTGGCCTGCTGCTGCTAAACTACACAGTGCCTATGTCCTTCAACATGTTATTCATGTGTTTTGCACAGTTCACATATTCAGCTTTGCAGAAGCAGCACAATGACTCCACCTGTCACCCGCATTTCAAAAAACCTGAAGTCCACTTTTTGCAGCTGCTGACATTTTCTACATATGTGTTCACATCACCTATGTGAATCATTCATGACCTGCACATGCCACTTGGCTAAGCTTCCAGGTCATGCCGCAAGTTTACCTTTGTACTATTTATTAATAAATGTTATGGGATTCTGACAGATAACTGAGCAAAGAACTCACTGAGCAATCATTAACATTTTTGCATGTGACATTACTCTGATTATTTAGCTCCTGAAGTCTGCTGGTTAAAGTCATATGGACTCTCTCATTGCTTTACCTCCAGAAGTCCCTCAGCTACTCTGGTGGGTGAAAAGATACAAGCAGTACCCTCTTCTACCTTGTCATTGAATTCTCAGCTTTACCATTCTGTTCCAAGGCACTCTTAAATGATCACTCTCACAGGAGTAGGCCCATGGCATAGTACACGCCAAAAACAGAGAGAAATCAGTTGGCCACAGTAAGTAAAGAAATACAGAAATAAAAGAACTTACAGAAATGGGAAAGAAATTAGCCTTTTGAAAATACACTCAGAACTGAGGGAGTAACTATTTTTACTTCTCACATCACTGTAGACGAAGAATATTGAGCTTTCTTGAGGTCTTGGGCAGTATTCCTCCTTCTGTTCATACCACCAAAAACAGTTCCAATTGTTCATTTGTTGCTGTATGTGGGACCTTGCTATGGTTTTTGCTTTTGTAACCGTACCTATCGTATTCGAGAGTAATTGTGTGCGAAACGTTTTGAGAAATTTCTGAGGTATGAGAAAGATTTGTAAATTTATTTTCTAGCACAATACAGTGATGTTGAAATATCGAACTAATGTGCACCAAATAGAAGAATACATAATTGTGAATAGTTCAGTTGATGGTGCTTAATTCTTTTTAAAAGGTCAAGGCAGTGTTTTGAATTGACAGATTTTCCTTTTTATTCCTGGAACCTGGGCTTGAATTCAACTCAGACTGATAGGCTGAGAATCTCCTGTCTCTGGTGGCTGTCAGCATTGTATTGTAAAACAAGATTGGACAAGCCTGATCCAATTCCTCACTGCTCAATTAAAAAAAAATGACAGTGCGAGAATGGCTGGTGTGGGAAGTGTAAAAGAAATACAGTTCTGATTTAAGAAATGGATTTCTGAGGTCAGGTTTAATAAATAGTATGAAACAGTATGGGATTTATGTATATATATTATCCAATATCTGATTTTATTAACATGGGTATCTGAGTACTACTTATGTAACATTTTGTGCTACAATGCTGTTGTTGTGCTTTGTGAACTGGTTAATGGGTTTAAAATTATAATCTGAACAAACAAATTCACTCCTTTTTTTGTTTTGTTTTGTTTTTGTGTGTATGTGTGTGGACTTGATTTGCATTGCATAGCTTCTTTACAAATTTTCAGCCCCATATGCATTGTAATTTATTTGGCTGTTTGATTGAGCTCTGATTGCTCAGTTTATAGGGAGCATTGATCTGAACGAAAACACAATTGTAATGCGTTTTTGCAGCAGATTCCTCAGAAGTTGTTTCAAAGCTTTTCTTATTCTGCAGATCCCTAAATGCAGAATAAATATTTGTCTATTGAACAAGGAGAAACAATCCTCTTCCAGAGTTGAGATACTTTTCCTGCTTTATTACTAATCCAAAACACAGTTTCTTGGTTCTTTTATTCATAATTGAAACCAATGCTCTGATGTCTTTTATTAAATAAAACAAAAACAAACCAAAAAGGACGGGGATAAAACCACTTTTAACTAAGACAAGGCTGGCACAGCATTAAAAATGATGAGGAAACTTTTTTTTGTGACTGTCTATAGGGGGATAGCGTAAGCCCATCTGGGACGTTCAGAAGGGCAGATGGGCTTAAGCCTTTATTCTGTTTTCCTGTGTCAGGTGAAAGTTATGATATTAAATTCTCAAAAACTTTCAGGCAAGTCAGCCTTCATTGTGGGTACCTGGTTGGGTAGCCATTTTCCTGGAAATACTGGTGGCTGCTCACTTCTTCAGTAGCCTAGGATCTGAACCAAGGTGTTCCCTTGCCTCAGATTTCATAATGCGAGACATGCAGGCTGCTCTGTCAACCTTGCCCATGAGAGATAACATCCATGAGAAGTCTAGCAAGGTGTTGCTGCTGTCCACTATTAACAGTGAAAGGGCTGCAGACTGTGCATCTCACTCAGCCTCCCCAAGTGAGCCAACCACACTAATTGAGACCTGCAAGCCTGATTGAGATGTCAATGTTGGGCTCAACACAAGTGTTACATGTAAAGTTGGCAAAGTATGCTGTGCTTTTTACTGGATTCTAAGGAGTGGAAGAAGACAAATGGGAGACAGAAGCTATTATACATGCTGTTGATGTAATGTAGGGCTGTATCACAAGGTATAAAAAGACCCTAGTGAGCTCTGTACCATATGCATAGAATGCAATATAATGCTTAGATCACAAATTTCTTCCATGTTGTTGAATGAAGAAAAGGGCTAGTAGTCATGGGTCATGCAGGATGAGTCTCACCATATTGAGATGGCTGCATGACAGGCCTTTGCTCAGGGTTGGAGCCATCCGATAGGAAACCAAAGGTTATGATGACTAAGCTAAGTTCACAGAATCAAACCAATCATCTTTTTGCTATTAACTGTGAGAGCTAATACTACAATGATGAAAGTAGTTAGTCTAGTTCATTGAGACATATTCTGTATGCTTGAGGAATCTGATGGAGATATCTGGCACCCAATCTTGTATGTGGCAGTCCTCTGCAGTGGCAAATGTAAAATACTTTATGTCCCTATGACTTTGAGTTATCATTGAGTGGATAGTGACACTAACCCAAGCAGTGTGCAGCTGATCATCCTTTCATGATACTGAAGCCAGATTCTCCTGAGCTGCCCATGGGCAGTGACCTCCATTCAGTCAGGAAAGGCACCTGTACATCTCTCAGGAGCAATACGCCCTTTCTCTGCTGGACGCCCTGCAAGAGAATCTCTAGGGAGGCATTCCTGAATATTGGAGATTCTGTCTGCTCTCAGATATTTCCAGGAGTGAATGGAGTCCAGAAAGTCCCAAATGGTCATTGGAGTTTCTTATCCACTGGGTCATAATGTTTGGCATTTTGCTTGCACATATGCAATGAACTGAAAAGAATGTAAATGCGTCAGACAACCTGACCCACCCTGAGCATAGGTACTTCCCATTTTTAGGTCCGGTACCACATTTAGCCTCCCAAAAAATAAGATTCTGACAGATGTATCTGTTTATATTAAATGCAGTGATGATTTCATGTTACTAGATAAAAAATAAACCTCACATGGAGCATTGAGGACATGTCTTAATTTAAATAATATTAAAGCTGTAGTTGGCATAGCTTTTTTGAGTCAAACACTACTGTCATTATGACATGTTTTGAATACTGCCTTATATTTTAGCTCGTGTATCATGTATCACAAAGACGCCAGCGTCCCCAGGGTTGGTGGCTCAGCAACACATAACTGCTGCTCCTGATTTTCTGTGACCCTTTGATCATTGGTGGTGGAAGGAATGGATTTCTGTGGTGCCAATCATATGGGCTACACCTGGATGGTGTCATGCTTCTTGAGTGTTGTTGGAGCTGCACTCATCATTTCTGGAGCATGCAGTACAATGTGATCTGTTTCATCTGTTTGTAGGCTCAAGGCCTTACCAGGGGCATGTCATTGCAGTTGCAGAATTTGGGTTAGTTCCAACTATTTGGGTTTTATATATTGACTGTACATTAGGGGTAGAATACTAAAGGAGATACAGGAGCAGAGTAACTTCGGTGCGCACACATATATGTGCACAGGGTAGGAAGACAGGTTGAGAGAGCAATTAATAGAGCACACAGTATCCTTGGATTTATTCATAGGGGCATAGAGTACACAAAGAAGACATGTAGTTCAAACTTGTATAAGTCACTGCTTAGACCTGAGCTTAAGCGTTGTGGACAGTTCTAGGTGCTTCATTATAGGAAGGATGGAAATGCATTGGAGAGAGTGCAGAAACAATTTACACGGATGGTTCCAGTGATGAGAAAGTTCATTTCTGAAGATAGATTGAAGAAGTTGGAACTGTTCTCCTTGAAGAGAACGCAGCTGAGTGGAGGTCTGACAGAGGTTATCAAAATCATGAGCGGCCTGGATGCAGTCAATAGGGCGAAGGTCTAAAAGGATCAAGAACCCAATGACACAGAAGTGAAGTGATTTGCACCGAAAGGCAAATATGATGTAAAAAAAAGATTTTTCACAGGAAGAATAATTAGGGTATGGAATGCACTGCCTGGAAGTGTGATGGATGAAATAACTCCACAGAGGCTGGTATTGTGTCATGAAACCATCCTTCACTTACACATGGAAAGTCCTTGACACTGATCCAGCTCCCTCAGAGCCAGCTCTCAGGGTGCTAGTATCTCTGACACTCCTGTTTATTTCTGTCAGCCAGGGGTCCCTGATTGGACCAGGTTAACAGCCCAATCAGGGAACATATATTCTATGAAGTCAACCTGACTGACGTCCTTACAATCACTACAGTGGAGACAGCTTCATTTGAGGAATTCAAGAGAGCTGAATGATTATTTGGATAGAGATAAACCATTTAGGACTGAGATGAGTTGAAATTTTTTCACCCAGAGAGGGTGCACCTGTGGAATTTTCCTCCACAGTAAGCAGTCAAGAACAAAATAGTGTATAATTTCAAGGAGGAGTTAGATTTAGCACTTGGAGCTAAAGGAATCAAAGGATATGGGGGAAAATTGGGAAGAACTATGGAATTGGATGGCCAGCCATGACCATTGTGAATGGTGGAGCAGATCTGTAGGGCCAAATGGCTTACCACTGCTCCTATTTTCTATATTTCAATATAAATAATGTGCAAGGATATGGGGAAAAAATACAGGAGATTGCGTTTGGTAATGATGCTTATTTGAAGAGTCAGTATAGGAACAATGGGCTGAATGCTCTTATTCTATGTCATAAGACTTTTGTGATTCCATGAACAGTTTGAAAATAGAAGATATCACAGTGCCTGAGTAGGATAATTAAAATCTCACCTTACGATAACAGCCTCATGAATTTCCATCGACCAGAACTTTTCTATTAGACCTTGGAATTGGCTGCTAGACTTTCAGAATCACTGCTTTATACCGAGTTTTGAACCTTGGCTTGTACTTAAAGTTCTTCAGGTTCAGAAATCATTCCTGATCAAATACTTAATACTCAAGCACCTGCATTGATTTAAGTATTTAAGAGTCTGCTTTATGGCTTTGCTTCTATCTGAACATGTTCTGAAAAGGCACTCAATCAATACATGTATGACAGGAATCATTGCACCTGTTCTCTGTAATCCCATTTGAGTCAGGTGTAATACTATAGCTTTCAGCAATAAATATTAATTATAGTTGGCAGCACCTTTTGAGACTCTGTGTCAGAAGGTGTTGAGTTCAAGCCCCACTG